TAATAATAATAATAATAATAATAATAATAATTTTATTTATCTATATAGTACAATAATGTTTACTATTTATTACAGACACATATTACATATAGACAAATAGGAATAACGCTCAGTTCGCTGCATCAGCAGGGTACTGTTCTTCCGCGCTTCCTAAAGAGAATAAACGATTCTAAAAAAATATATATTTTAAAATAGATGTGGGGACTAAAAAGAAAATATATAGCATATAAAAAATCAACAAATAATAGAGAAGTATCTTAAACTTGACTATTTAAAAAGTAAGATTTGAGAGATATCCTAAATTTGTAAAGCGACATTGGCATTGACATTGCTGCTGAGGTATTACTTAGATCATTATATAGTTTGACTATATTATGGGAGAAGGACCGTTCAAAGAAAGCGGTTCTATGTCTGGGCATAGATAATAAACCTTTATTTCGTATATTAACATTATGCACGTCCGTCCTAAATGTTATTTTATTATAGAGATACGGAGGAGTTTTTGTAGAAATCAACTTATGATAAAAACAGATTGCATGATAATTTCGTCTAGTTTTCATTGGGAACCACTTCAGACTCTTGAAAGCGGGAGATATATGATTATATTTTTTAATGCCGCATATAAATCGGACACAAGCATTTTGCATTCTCTGGATTCTGGATGTATCAGTACTGTCTATACAAGGATTATAAAGAACATCACAGTAGTTAAATTGAGACAAGACCATAGACTCACACAGTAGCATCTTGATTTGCTTACTTAATATATGCCGACTACCGTATAGAAGTTTTAGATTTGCAAACGATTTTCTCAACATTGAATTTACAAATGATTTAAATCTCAAACCAGAGTCTAATATTACACCCAGGCTTTTAGCTTCTCTAGTAACAAAAAGAGGTTCATTGTTTATGCAAATATGCATTGAGTGAATAACTTCATCCAAGACAGTATTTCGACCAAAAAGTAGAACGGAAGACTTAGAGCCATTTAGCTTTAAAGAGTGACCTGTCGCAATAGTGGACAGAGCTGTTAAGTCACTATTAATTTTCTGGCAACAATTAATAGCCTCAGACGGTATAAAAGAGTAATACAGCTGCGTATCGTCTGCATAGAAATGATATTTACAATGGTTGATAAAGGTTTCAAAGTTCAGCGTATACAGAGTATAAAGAAGTGGACCCAGAATAGATCCTTGAGGTACTCCGGTTGACATTCTAACTTTATCAGATACTTTATTATTAACAACCACAGATTGTACACGATCACTCAAATAATTTCTAAAAAGCAGTATAGACTGTTCCGCGAGGCCCACGAAGTGTAATATGGCTAATAATATATCATGGTCGAGTGTGTCGAAGGCCTTACTAAAGTCTAACAGAACCAATGCACTGATTTTACCGATGTCAGCTTGGCCAATAATATCATCTGTAACGTTTAAAAGGGCAGATAAGCAACTGTGTTGTTTACGGAAACCTGATTGATGTAGAGGCATTAACTGATTGTTGTTGAGATAGTCCCGCAGTTGGTTTTCAATTATTTTTTCTAGCACCTTAGACAAGACTGGGAGGATTGCTATAGGCCTGAGGTCTTTAAATTCAGTTGGGTTAGAAATCTTTGGGATTGGTTTTATTAGAGATTCTTTCCAGCAAGAAGGATACACACTATTTTCTAAACAATAATTAATTATATGTGTGACTAACGGAACTATATATGGACAGCATAATTTTATAAAGGTTATGTTAATACCGTCGGATCCAGTCGCCTTGGTGGATACATTATTAATTATTTTACTAACTTCTTCTTCATTAACTCTAGAAAAAGCAAAACTGTTGGGTATATTATTCTTCGTATTAGAATTATAAAAGCTAGTCCATTCGTGTTTAGTGTTGTTATCAACTTGCTGAATCGAGGTTACAAGAAAATTATTGATAGAGTTTGGATCTGCTAACTCATCAGGGATAGTTGGTATTACTTTGTTAATAACATTCATACGTCTCAATTCTCTCCAGGTGTCCTTTAAATTGGAAGTGCGAAATTTGTATCCGAAGTAAGCCTTCTTTTCATTTTTTATTGCTGCATTAGTATAATTACGCCATGCTTTATCTATTCAGCCTGATAACACTGGATACATTCTCGGAAGGTTCTGGTTTGGTAGCAAGGTTTTTAACTGAGCCGTTACGGAATTGTTTTAATACTTCGGATTTATGAAGCTTTGCTTTTTATGCCGGCTTTATCCCTTATAATCTTCGCAACAGGTACAAAAAGTCTTGAGCGGACTGGTCACTAGATGACTGATCTAAGTCTTGAGCGGTGCATTTGCTACAAATTTGAACAATGTTCTAATTTGCAAAGAAGTTTATTACTATGGTTACAAATGTTTGAAATATATTAACATGTTTCAAGTGAAGGGGTGGTATAAAACGAAATTATGTAGTGCATGGAATTCGATCAACGAATCCGGAAAACTGCTTTGGTTGTTCTAAATAAGAAAGGACGATTTCTAGGCATTGAAAGGTAACCAATACGCTTGAATTCGGGTTACGAGATACCAGAGCCGATTTTCGATCATAGTTCCTGGGAGTTCCGCGAATGAAATTGATTCACAAGGCCAGGTAGATGTAATTTACACATATATTGCGAAAGTATTCAGCTTCAGTCGTAATTTATGTAACTTTTTCGAGTGATATCTTCTTGAAAGAAAGCAATATGTTACGTATTTTGGACACATTTCTCATATTTTTACAGCAACCTCGGATGTTCCGCAAGGGTCCAATTTGGGGTACCTGTGTTTCTTGTACTTATGTTCTCGTGGAAATCGTACACTCTGTGCTAAGACATGGTCTAATTGTCTTAAGATGTCTCCAACAAAATGCTGTCCAGATGCCCTTTGCTGGAGTGTTTGGAGCAGTTTACGGTTCGTGGATAGTTTCGGCGAATGCATTCGAAACATACTAGGTGATTTTGATTCCGTTCAACATCTTCTGCTTCACAGCATGATGGATGGTCGACTAGATGTCCTCGAGTATATGCAGCTACTTATNATGCCCTTTGCTGGAGTGTTTGGAGCAGTTTACGGTTCGTGGATAGTTTCGGCGAATGCATTCGAAACATACTAGGTGATTTTGATTCCGTTCAACATCTTCTGCTTCACAGCATGATGAATGGACGACTAGATGTCCTCGAGTATATGCAGCTACTTATAATGGAGATTTCTTCACGTAGAGAGTCTGCAAATGACTGCGTAGCCCAAATTCCAAAGTTGAGTGAAATTTGAATTTACTCAAGTAACACCGTTTTAGGGATAGCTGAAGATGAATGTATGTTTATTGCTTACCCAAAACACAGAGGTCGCGAATAAATGAAAAAAATCTTTTGTTTTCATTTATATTTCTTTTTTGTAGATATTTTGACAAAAGGCATAGTTCCAGAGGAAAATGAATGTCATATACTGAGTTTTCGGGTATATTCTTGTGTAACAATTGATCATTTTTGCTAAATTTGTACCTATATTAAATATTTTTTACAATTTAGCCCAACTTACTTCTATTTCAATATTAATATCTAATAAGATGTACCAAAAATATTACAAAGTAAAAAGCAAAAAACTGTTTAGGAACTCTTAGCGACCTTTATGTTTTATACAGGAAATAAGTAGGTATAAGTTTATTTTCATCTACCCCAAAAACATTCCTATACAAAATTTCAAACATTTTGAAAAACTTCAATAAAAAATGTTTGAAGAGTCATAGGTTTTTAAGGAAGCAAGTGTATTAAGAATCTTGAATTTGTGACTCATTCGCTTTCGGGTACATTGGTCAATATTTTTACTACCATAAAACTTGACAATAGTGTCAACAGCGGTCGTTGAATTGTTTTATTTATACGACAAAATAGCATTGTATACAACTACGTATGTTTTTTTAACAAATCATTTTAGTAGTTATAAATTAACAGAACGATTTTGATAGAGTCAGGGGATTAAGGCAAATATTTGTACACATTCAGATTTACAAAGGTTAATCTGTAAAATCCGCAAAATAATTTAATGCCTCCCTAAATAAACAACGTGCTATGCATATTTGAATTTCATGAAATTCAGTAAAATATATTCACGCTTTTCAAGAGGAAATAGTTTGATAATTTCTGCTGGAAGATAAACTCGCATAATAGGAAGCAAGAATCTCGCTGGCAAGTACCGACTTCCTATTCCTCGAATTGTCTGTCTAGGAGAGTCCTGAGATAAAGGAAAGGCAAAGAGATGAACGCAATGTCAGAAAAATTATTCTCGCTAAATTATATCCGGAACTCAGATCAATACGCAATTACATTATCCAAAGTTTAGTGGTTCATTTTATATTACAAATGAATGCGGAGATTGGATTGCGTCGAAAATTTACGTTGACTGTAAGCTTTTCGAGAATAATTTTCTTCGATTTCGAGGCACTACATTGGTTGTTGCTGAGAATGTTATTTTTATACATACATATATACGTATTTCTACTGGAAAATCCGGTAAATAAAATATCCGGCGTAGACGTTTATTAAAATCTTATACAAATTCTATAGGAATCAAAAATTGTAATGTAAATATAAATTTGGACTATTTTTTTATTAAGGCGGCTGCAATGTGGTACGGGGTTGGCTGTAGACCGGATTCTCTTTTACGTAATTTTATTCAAACAAATGCCTTCTGATAACAGCATTCTTTACATTATAAGAATATATACAGGGTGATTCAGAACTTATTCGAAAAACCTTTAAATAAGAAGTCGATATCACCAAAAAAGTTATAATAAAAGTCTAATGGATTTCGCGTAAAAAATATTTAAAGTTCAAACCATTAAAAGGAGTACGTAGCTGGGCAACTGTACTTCAACGGCATCTGATAACAAAGAAAAGTAAACAAGTTTTTGCGCTTTGAGCGCGTCTGCCTGGTGAATAGGATTGGTGTGGGGATATGCTCTCTATAGGTGGTAAACGAACGAGGTCAGTAGTGTTGTTTGTTTTATTGTGGGAGTGTCAAAATTTTCAAAATAGCTCATGTGTACAGCAATGCTGAGTTAATGGACATGATTCTTATTTGTGGTGAAATTAGAGAAAATGCATTGGCAGTTTTGCGCTTGTATGCGGGTCGATTTCCCGATTGACAGACGCCAAATCATGAAACTTTTACAGCAGTGGTGCAAATCGTGGACGAGATGGTGGCCCCAGGCGACCACAACGTATTTTAACAGCTGAAGAACAAGTGTTAAATATGGTCCGTGAAATCCGCGAATAAGTAGAGGTGTATCAATATCTCATGAGCCGCGAAATGCGTGGCGTATCTGCATAATTCTTCTAATAAGCACGTTGTGAAAACATTGACTCAGAACTAGACCATGTGCATCATTACAAGTAGAAATGAACTAAGGCGCTCGGGCATCAATAAAGTCAACTGGCGAACGTTCGTTATATATATTTTTATTGTTTAAATTAAAATAATAATGAATAGAGCATTTTATTATGATATTTGTAATCGGATCAAAGGCTTGTTTACGCTACGAGAACTCGAGAGAGACTGTGAATAATAGGTGTAATGTTTTTAGGACGTAGAATAATTTAGGCGACGGTCGGAATTATGTTTCTGCGCATATGAAGGTCAAAGCTCATAAGATTTTAAAACACCTCTACAAGGTAGACAAGTGCCTGGAGTATCCCAAACAACCGTGTGGCGCTTACTACACGAAGCTCAGATATACGCATACTACCCATCTACCTTGTTCAAGCACTGTTACCAGCGGATTATCCATTACGAGTTAGGTTTTGTGAGTGGTTGTTGTAGCAAAATGCTGAAAATCTCCAATTTAATGCTGATGTACTAGTTACAGATGAAGCTTTATTTATTCGAAATGGACACGTTTGAGAATTCGAAAAATGTGCTACTTTTTTAATAAATTTCATGTTTGTAATAATGATCAAGTACCGCAATTCTTCTTCAAAATTAATGCAACAAAATTTTGTACGTTTTAAAGATACGTTACTTGCTCAGATCTATCTACAGTGTGTCCATTTAAGTTATCCGCAAATGGGTAACTTTTTTATTATCAATTTTACAAAAAAAAGGACGTTAGGAATCTAAACTTAGGCTTAATTTTTAATTCCAAGTAACATTTTCCCATTACATTCTTCTCGAAAATAAAAGTTATTTATAATTCTCCCTTGTCAAATTTGATTTTTTTTAATTTTTGGTCACCCTATAAAAAGTGGCGAAACATCAACTATTTCCGATTTTAATAATCCCACTATCCGCGTCATTGTACAATAACAGGTACATGTCTGCCTCTGATCTGATCGCATCGATCAGTTTATTCGATACGTATCTAGCGCCATCCTAATGCCTGCCCTGTTCACCTGGCGTGCCGGTGAACAATCCAGGTTTTTTACTGAGGGACGTTGGCGGTGCATTTCATTGTCGTTTGTGCATTTGTGAGCAAGTTTGACGCTTTGCTTAGTCGAGTGTATGACACATGTTTTTAAGACAGTCAGTAGCATTGTGTATTGTGAGCATAGAGCGGTACCCGGCTTTTCCACAGATTTAGCCTATTTTGGTTACTACAACGCGTATTGCTACTTACTACCATAATACCTATATACAGATTACTACTGTTTTTTTATTTGATTGTCGCAACAAATTCCAAAAAAGTATTACAGATTAGCTAGTTTGGGATAAGTTTTGACGAATTACATACTATAATATTCTGAGCATATGATTGTAGATATCTAACATTATGAGTCATAATTGTGAATGTTGATGTATGAGTAAGATCTGAATGTGGATATCTAATACTTTGAGCTATATTGAATGTACATATCTAATAATTTGAGACCCCAATCTGAATGGGGATATTTGTCATTCCGAGTTACATCTGAACGTGGATATTTAAATTCTGAGTTAGATCTTAATTAATCATTTATGAGTGATTTATTGTTGCACTCAATATTTAGTTAATTTCAAACCAAGTCTGGGGAAAAAATGACTCAATAATAGTTAAATTTAAATCATATTAGAGAAAAAGTCACTCTAAATTTGTTTTATATACTCAGAATAGAGTCAAAAGTCGCTCAATTGGTAGTTAGCAGTAACTCGGATTTGAGTAAAACTCACTCATTTCTGATGCAAAAGTTTCACTCAGTTATACTCATACTAATACATATCGGGTGTGGACAGAAATTGATATATTATTTAGTGAAATTGAGTGAAATTTGAGTGAATTTTTTTACAGTGTATTTTTTCATAAAAGCTTGTCTGTCATGTTATAAATTATAGATACTTGTTACGTTTTACTAAAGTACAAACTTTTAAAGATTTGCAATCTCATCACAGTCAAGCTTACTTACTGAGAATCGAACTGTCTGTACTTCCAACAGACCACGACATATACTTTCTTTAATACCTCATCGTCTCTTTGTAAGATGAAAGCTACTCTTTTTGTTTGTCACTTCGAAATATCGACATACATTCTTTCGGGGTATTACAACGTGCAAATCAACCAAGATTTTCCTTGTATGTATTTACACATCAGAATGTGATATACAGGGTAATTAATTAACAATGGGAAAATAGAAAACTGAAGATACTACACGTGAAATAATAATAATAATCTTTATCTTTATTGCCCAACAGATAACATCCATTTATAGGACTAATTGTTTACAGAAAAGTTAAATGCGTAACATGCATATATATAAGACACATCGAATGAGGTACGCAGAAGGCTAGTAATATTGTATGTGCATACAATACCCAAAAAAGAACATATAATATTCTTATATAGAATTAAACCTAAATAAAATCACCATATCTTATACCAACAGTTTCAACTATCTGATTGAGGCTGCTAAAATTAAGATCACACAAATCTGATATTTTATTGAAATTTCGGCACATAATATGTACTGGGGACATCATGAGACACTGCGACCTTGCTCTAGCACAAATAAATGTATAGTTCTGATGAGAGTTTATACGAGGAATACAAAAACAAAACTGGCACAACAGGGATGGACATTCTAGATTATTGTGAAATAAATTATAT